AAAAAAAAAAAAAAAAAAAAAAAAAGAATAAAACAGTAATGCATACATTATACTCCTCCTATAAAGCCAGCTTTGATTAACAACTGCTAGTTTCAAAGATCTGTCTGCTTTTGAAGATGAACTAAGATACACACTGTATGATTCTCAAATCTATTTTAGCCATTTTGTACAGTCACTCTCCTACTGGACTACAGTATATGTGTTTTTTTTTTTTTTTTTTTTTTTTTTTTCTTGCGTTATGCGGGCCTCTCACTGTTGTGGCCTCTCCCATTTGCGGAGCACAGGCTCCGGACGCGCAGGCTCAGCGGCCATGGCTCACGGGCCCAGCCGCTCCGCGGCATGTGGGATCCTCCCGAAACGGGGCACGAACCCGCGTCTCCTGCATCGGCAGGCGGACTCTCAAGCACTGCGCCACCAGGGAAGCCCAGTATATGTGTTTTAAAAGGACACTAATGAGGGGCACCATCTGGTATTAACTTTAACCAGACAGCTGACTGCCTCCCCTCCCCCAAAGACCTTTGGCCACGAAGAAGAGAAACGTAGCGTGGTCTCTGGTGCTCGACCACCTGGACATACAATCAGTGAGTAACCCACAAAAAGGTACTTGGACTCGAGGGTATAACATAAGGCACTTTGTTTTTAATTCCATCAGTTTCTTCAGAATTAAGGTCAGGGGTCCGCTGGTGATTTGAAGCTGTGCTGGCCGCAGCTGTGACCACAGACCCAGGAAGCTGTCAGAGGGCCACCGTCCTCAGTACACTCCTCGCTGCGCTCTGCCCACCTGCCCACGCGCATTCCGACTTCTCGGTAAACTTCCCACAGCACGACCAGTGGGGGCGCCCCGGGTGGCCTTTGTGTCCGTGGCCACAGCCTAGGTACCCACCTGCATGGTTCAAAGAGGAGAGGGGAGAACCACCATTAGAGGAAAGTCCAGCGGTTACCACGGAAATTAATGCTCCTGGCGACATTCAGACTCATGGACGTGAAAACGTCTAATAAAAACCCGGCGAGAGGAACAAGCTATTTGGTGCCTCTGTAGTCAGGAGAACTCTCAAGACTGATGACAGCAAATCAATTAAGATTAGCTGAAGTTCCAAGAAGAGTGTTATTTTAACACTCTGCTAACTCAAGAAGAACTGGTTTGGATTTTAACTGTAACATAATCTAGATGAAAGGGAAGGGCAGAGTGGTGGAAATAAACAAAATAGATCCTGAAGTGTTTATATGAAAGTTTACAAGAGCCTATCTTAAGGCCCACCATTGGAGTAAGGACACCACAGAATACTGAAAATAATTAGATCTCTTGCCTGAGCTGACCGTCTTGCCCACCCTCCCTTCCCCCAAGAAAAGAGCCAGACCTGGTTCAGTTAATTTATTCATCTGTTCTCCCATCCCTGCCTGTTTGGAATTTCTGTAAGGTTTTAAAAGGAACGGAGCGGGTTTACATCTTTGACACTGCTCAGGCTGTTGGCAAGGGTACAGGCTGGAAAGGGTACGAGCATTCTAAGAGAAGCACAGGGCTCCTAGGATTAGTGAACTGTATCAAAACTAAAAAACTCAGAACTTTGCAGCTTGCTATTTCAGTTTCCAAAACGAAGAAGCTTTAAATGAAACTTAGAACTGTGATATATTTATATGCACAGACTGCATTCCTAGAAACAAAGCCTAAGTCTGAACACACCGAAGCTGGTCGCTGTGGTAGTTGATCCCGCCGCCAGAAGACAGCAGCAGAGGGAGAGTGAGGGCTTTCAGGAGCGACTGGTTCTCCTTACCCGGCATGGTGCCTCCACATGCGCAGCGAGCAGTCTTCTGGCCTCCGCTGGAGCAGAACGTGCAGCAGTGAAACACGCCTGGGTGTGAGCGGTGCCGTTTCCTCACGGTCACAGTGAATGGTGAGCCCTTCAGTGTTCAGACCAAGAGCAAAGAACAGCACCTTGTGAGTCAACAGGGGTGTGCTGAGCACACCCTCGTCCCCTGGAGGGACGAGGACAGCAGGAGGGAAGCAGCGACTGGGGGACAGCAACCAGCTGGGTGCTGAGCTGGACGGGGCCAGATACAAATGCAGTGAGAGGGGGAGTCAAGGAATCCGTGCTGCTCTCCCAGTATGCATATCACTTGACGCGCTAGGAACCCCAACTGTGCTTTCACGTCACTGACCTTGGTCTCTATCTCCTCCATTCCTGAGCAAGCTTGGGTAACTATAGAGCACACAACCACAAGGTGAGGACACCTGTGGTCCTTTCTCCAGTTTCTCAGACACACACCCCCTCCCCTCACATACTGAGCCAGCTCCTCTCCTTCCATCCCTCCATCCTGGACACAACTGTTTACCCATCCCCTTACTCTGGGTTGGTGAATATAGATGGAAGGGAGGAAGGTTAAGAGCCTGGGGTTAATAATTCTCATATTGCGCTTCCCTGGTGGCGCAGTGGTTGGGAGTCCACCTGCCAATGCAGGGGACACGGGTTTGTGCCTCGGTCCGGGAAGATCCCACATCCCGCAGAGCGGCTGGGCCCGTGAGCCATGGCTGCTAAGCCTGCGCGTCCGGAGCCTGTCCTCCGCAACTGGAGAGGCCACAACAGTGAGAGGCCCGCATACCGCAAAAAAAAAAAAAAAAATTCTCAGATTAGAAACCCTCCTGCCTCTTTTCCTTCAAGGATAACTTCCATTCTCCAATTTCTACCCTATGTTAAACAGTAAATATTTAATAACTGTTGATATGTGCCTATCCCTGCATGAGAACCACACGTTCTGCAAAAGCACAAAGCAGAGAGGCTGGCACCTTAGAAGCCTTTCAAATGTTAAATCTCTCTTCCTTTAAAGAGTTTACAATCTATTTTAAAAGCAACCTGGAGTTCAAAGCTATGGGTTCAAATTACGATTTTTCCACACAGGTACTGTGTATTGTGGCAAGTTTGTTTTCTCGGTCCAGTTGGATGATGATCCTTATGCCTCAGTGATTTGGAGGAAAAGTGAAATAATGTTTGTAAAAACACCTAACCTGGGCTTCCCTGGTGGCGCAGTGGCTGGGAGTCCACCTGCCAATGCAGGGGACACAGGTTTAAGCCCTGGTCCGGGAGGATCTCACATGCTGCGGAGTGGCTGGGCACATGTGCCGCAACTACTGAGTCCGCGCACCACAACTACTCAGCCTGTGCGCCACGGCTACCAAAGCCCGTGTGCCTAGAGCCTGTGCTCTGCAATGGGAGAAGCCACTGCGATAAGAGGCCCGCGTACCACAGTGAGGAGTAGCCCCCACTCGCCACAACTAGAGAAAGACTGTGCGCGGCAATGAGGACCCAATGCAGCCAAAATAAATAGATAAAATAAATAAATTTACAAATAAATAATTAATGAATTTAAAAAAAAACACCTAATCCATCTGACATCCTGTAATTAGGCAAGCAGCAAGTGGCTATTGAATATGAGTCTTCCTAGGGCACAGGCCACAAGCCTAACACATCATGATGCTCTATGGTGTTTTATTGTCCTTGTCAGTGTTGATTTCTGGTTGGGGGAAACCTCTGACAGCTCGAATGTCAGCAGAGATTCTGCTGGATGTGTTGAGTATTACCCAATTTTTAAAAATTCATAATCTCTACACCAGAAAGTGTCACATGTATCTGTGGAGGTAACAGACAAGCATATACATATAAACAAAGTAGAGAATTATCTGGGCAGATGGTTAGGCAGACAGATGACTGGTCAGTCAAGAAGAGAGGGCATAACTCTCCCAATGGTGTTCCAGTAAGTCCATGTCTGGTCATAGTCTGAAAAAGCTGAAATATCCTGAGCTAGATTGTATTGCTCGAACATGTGTATGCTTGTCCGCTGGTAGATTGGCCCCTCTGATCAAGGCATCTTTCCCAAATTAAGAATTCCAACAAACTGGGAGAATGATAAAATACAAGCACAATGGCCAGGAGGTAAAGTAGGGATAGAGAGTTCTTATGGTCACCAGCATCCTCTCGTAAGAATAAGAGCTGCAAAATCTGGGCCATTTCTAAAGTGAGGTGAAATAAGAAAGAAGAGAATCCTGTTCAAGGCCTCTATACAGCTGATCCTGTGAGAAATGTCTCCACATCCTAAGATGACAAAACCCAGGGGGGCCCAGGGTGCAAGGAGGTCAGGGAAGCACAGGTAAGGTCTCACTCACCTGCACGTGTTGTTCCTTGACACAGACGAACACAGTATAGATGCCAGGTTCCTTGGGGGTATAGGAAACGTAGTATGTCCCATCCTTGTTATCGTGGACCACCGTTTTGACTGGACTGGATGGAGGTGAGAGTTCAAAAATATCACTCATTCTCACAAGCCTGCTTCAGTTGCCCACTATTTTAGGATGTAAACTCTATACCAGTGGTCCCCAACCTTTTTGGCACCAGGGACTGGTTTCGTGGAAGACAATTTTTCCACGGATGGGGTGAGGATGGGGGGATGGTTTTTGGCACCAGGGACTGGTTTCGTGGAAGACAATTTTTCCACGGATGGGGTGAGGATGGGGGGATGGTTTTTGGCACCAGGGACTGGTTTCGTGGAAGACAATTTTTCCACGGATGGGGTGAGGATGGGGGGATGGTTCGGGTGGTAATGCGAGTGATGGGGAGCGGCAGGGAGCAGCAGATGAAACTTCGCTCGCTCACCCGCCGCTCACCTCCTGCTGTGCGGCCCGGTTCCTAACGGGGCTGCGGACCCCTGCTCTACACCATAAACCCAGTATTAATTTTAAATGTCCCCCAAGCACGATGTATCTTCTACTCGTCTCGGAAATTAATTTTACAACAGAAGGTAAGCAACATAAATGCTGATTTAATCTGATGTTCTGATGAATTCCTTGAAAGCGTCACTGTGTTCTCTCCCCTCAGCTTCTGTTGTACCCTCCTGCTCTTCGTCCTCCCTCCTCCCTCCTCTAATTCCAGAGACGTATAACTTTGCTCCCAGCACAGTTTAGTAGCAAAGTGAGGCTGGATTTTGAGAGGGGCGCCATTCAGTCTAACATGGAATATTTTTCAGTCTATTAGAAGCTTGGGATGAAGACAGTCTGAGGGGCAGATCAGACCTTTGGGAGAGAATTGAATACAGGCCTAAAACCCACACAAGGAAACACATCTGGTCCACTTGGTCCTATTGCACTTTTCAATGGCATCATGGGGAGGTAGGCTGGAACTACTGCAGTTACAGCCCCACTACTGCAAAGGACCTCGGGTTTCCAGTCGCATCACCGCTCGTTACCTGTGACGCCTGAGTGTATAATACAAACCTGTCTTTCTTATCTTTAGGGACTACTGCGACTTGAATGTTCTCTCCTCCCCTGCCCATGCTCTCTCCTGCTGCATCCTTACAAATGACGGTGAAAGAGGCTGTCTGTTTCTCGCGGGCTCTGTGGAGATCTGCGGAAGATAAACACTCCATCCTCACCTCAAAGGCTAACTGTGGTGACTGTATCCCCAGATCAGACACCATCTTGCCTTTTCTCTTTAGAACAAAAGGTTGTGTTTCCAGTTTCCTCCCTTTCTTTTCTCCCCGGCATACCTCTTGGGAGTCGCTCCCGGTGAGCCTGCTTCTGTCTCAGCCAGCAGCTGCTCTTGGATCATATAGGATCCTGGACCTTAATTTCAGCCTTAAGGAAGCTTTGAAAATACTCAGGTTTGATGTATGTATTCAGAGAAAAAAACATCTGGACACCGTGAGCGAGGCTGGCAACCCCAAACTACCCTCTCTGAGCTGCAGATCCTGCTGGAAGAGGCAGGGGGTACAGGGTGACCACCTGGGACTCTTCATGCTGTGAAGTCCTCCACAGCGTGGTAGCTGTGCCATGGTGTTGGGGGCATATTCAATAGCTACAGCCTCTGGTCCAGAGGTCAGATGAAACAGGCTTCTTAACCTGGGGTTTGTGAACTACTATGAGGCCTTATGAAGGGTCTAAGAATCTTGTGAAACTGTGTGCCCAAATTAATGGGTGTTTCTTGGGGAGAGATCATTCTCAAAGGGATCTGTGACCTCCAAACAGGTAAGAATTCCTGTGCCAGTTAGGATGACTCTACAGTAGAGTCTTCCTGTGAGGACTGATCTGTGAAATATATGTTTGATCAATGTGCTTCCTTTAGGAAGAGAACAATGTGGTCAAAAGAAATTGTTTTTCCCCTCTACTGACTGAAATGCCTACCATTTTCCTTCAAATGCCAACATGTGGCTCACATGAACCAAAAAGGGCATAGAAGAAAGCAAACCATAATCCTGTCATCATCACTCCTCAGAAACTCTCTTCAGAACTTGGTCCAAGCCATCCTCTCTGAACAGGCAGGATTCTGCCCTGCCCTGAGGTCTATGCTGTTATCTCCTATGGGCACTGCCTCTGTCCTGTCATCTGAGAGAAACAGCATGATCCTTGAGTTCCTTGGTAGTTACTACTTTTCTCCACTGGAAAAGGGTAAAGCTTCACCCCTGTAGGGATCTTAACTGTATCCTGACCAGAACAAATCAGAAAGAAAAGGACAAGGGTGGGGTCACCATCCATTGGATCCGTATGTCTCTTTCCCTAGCTAAATGAAGGCCATGGCTGAAAAAGCCACATGTCTTTAACACCATGTCCTGTCCACTGTCCTCTCAATGCCAGTGGGAAATGCCTTCCTACCTTCCCCTTGAAGGAAATGAAGGCATGGCTGAAAAAGCCACATGTCTTTAACACCATGTCCTGTCCACTGTCCTCTCAATGCCAGTGGGAAATGCCTTCCTACCTTCCCCTTGAAGGACACATTTGGCTGGATCGACCTCTTTGGTATTGATGGCCCCATAAACTTCATAGCCACGGCACAGGCCTGCTTTCTCCTTAGGAGAGAAGGTGATCTTCTCGTTCACTCCAGGACGGGCACTATATGCCACTTTGTTCAACTTTGTGAGCCGTTCCATGACCACCCCTTTGGTGATGAGGATCTCCAGGTCGGAGCCACTGGTCAGCAAGTGCTCGGTGAACTCCACTCCAGTCTGCATGTCTGCCAGCAGCTGCTCCAGCTGTGCCTTCTGCAGCTGCAGGGAGTTTTCCTTCTGGATCCGGATGGCTTCCAGCTGCTTCAGCAGCTTGTCCCGATGCTCCTCGATGGCCTTGATGTAGCCCTCGGAGAAGCTGCGGACGTCGGTGGCCACAGCCTCCACCCGTTCCTGCAGGGCGTGGTTGGTCCCTCTGATCTGTGCCAGCGCCTTCTCCAGGGCCTCCACGTGGAGCTGGGTGCCTTTGAGGAGCTCCCGCACGGAGTCCCCGTGCTTGTGGACAACGTTGCTGGCGAGGTCGCAGGGGTGCTCCCGGTGGCCCCCCACCATGCAGTCCCGGCACACGGGCTGGTCGCAGAGCTCACAGAACAGCCTCAGCTCCTCCGCAGGGTGAGCAGGACACGGAATGGGTTTCCCAATCTGGCTGTAGCCTTTCAAGTCTTTCAGGTCCACCATGGTGTGGTAAGTCGTCTTCTTCTGCCGCCTAGGGGCAAACAGAGTCGGGGGATGGGAAATGAGGGGACAACTCTACTTGGGAAACAGTCCGGCAGTTTTAAGAGCACGGGCTCTGAAGTCCAGCAAATCTGGGTTCGGTTCCTCATTCGAACCTCTTACTAACCACATGACTCTCTCGGATTCCAGTTCCTCTTCCGTACCGTGGGGATAATACCTACCTGAAAGGGCTGTTGTATAGGATTAAATGACAGTAGGCTAGGGCTCTCTGACTGGGCACCTGACTTTGCCAGAGGTTGTTGCAATGCTAAGGCTACATCCTGGAACTTTCCCCAAAGAATTAATTTGTCAAGTTTAGGCAAGAGCCACAGCCTACTCCTGCGGCAAGCTAGAGGGGAGAGCACAGTGGAGACCCAGCAGCAAGAGACCAGACCTGTGCCAGATGGCACAGCAATAAACCTCAGGCAATTAAAAAGCAGCTAGCTGGCCATGACAGTCTCCCTCAGCTTCCACCTAACACTCTGGTAAAGGATTTCCTTTGACTAGCGCCTACATCACCCAAAGCAGCAAGCTAGAATTTTCCGCAACAAGAGTCATCAACATTATTAGAGAGAGCAAAATCAGTGGTCAGTAAAATCAAACCCCTAATTCCCCTTTTCTGTAGCCCTCTAGAGATTCAGGGAAATCCCTAGAAACCATGGTAACTGTTCAGATTTTCCCCGTTAGCATTATAGCAACATCAAGCTTACATGCCTATTCCGGCACCAGAAGAGTGGTTGTAGACAAAATAGGGTCAGCTGTTTAGCTGGCAGCAAAGTTGTCAAAATACAAGTTAAAAATAGAAAGACCAAAGACTACTAACTTGTTCTGTTGGTGAGGCCAGAAAACACATGGAAGGCAGAACTTAAAAACTACGGTAGGCTAATCCTAAAACCTTGGCCATCTTACATTGTGATGTTCTGGAATGGGGGAAGGGGGTCTGAAGGGGACAAAGTGATTTATGTGACAAACTGTTCACCAAACACCCTATAAGACATAATCTGCACCCCAATACGCACCTACCAGCCCACCTCACCAAGTTCCAGAGTAACACTAGGGTACAAGGCAAAGGCTGAGGTTGTGCCCCACTAATCAGCACCTTATACTGGGAAGGCAGCAGAGATTAGTAGCAAGAGCATAGAAGGCAGTCAGATCTGGATTTTAAATTCAGTTCTGTTAGACACGACTTACGAGCTATGGGACCTTGGCAAATCACACGCTACTGAGCTTCAGTTTCCTCAAGTAATAAATAGGGATGAAAACATTGCCTGCTTTTCTATGAGTTGCAAGGATCAAATGAGATCGAGGGCAGGGGCTTTGTCATTATACTCATTCACTTTCTCTAGCACCCAGTACAATTATTCACTATACAAATGATTGATGATCCAAGGAAAGTGTAAATGTGCTTTGTAAACTGAAAAGGACTCTGCAAACCTTTGATGCTATCATTATCATGGGTATTATATAAAGGCTGCAGGAGTTAACTACTGTTTTGGAATGTTGGTAATCACATTGTATATTGCTCTCTGACCTTCCATGGAATTCAAGCTTTCCTTGCCATCTGCTCACCAAGGTTATTTCTCTGTCTTGACACCTCTTTGTACTCCGTGCTTAAGCCACACCAGGTGGGGTATCCCATCTTTACCTATGAGCCTGGCAGCAGAAGTGGCAGAGATTGGCTTTGCAGGTCTGACACCTCTTCTCCACTTCCCTGTCGCTGCACAGGTCACACACCAGGCCCTGGACTTCCCCACGCAGACTCTCCAGCATCACATCATTCATGGCCAGGTGGTCTATGGTTAAAGCCTTCACTCCACCCATGGGCAGGTCCACCTGAGCATCACATACCGGACAGAGGATGCCAATTTGCGGCTGCAGAGTGCGTGGCTTGAGTTCCTGGAATACTGACCCCTCAGAGCTTGTGTCAGAGTCTCCCCCTCGGATGTCCACTACCGAGACGGGTTCCAGCTGCTCCAGACAGGTGGTGCAAACCGTGTGCAAACAAGGTAAGAGCCTGGGGGCTTTGAAAAGCCCCATGCACAAAGGGCAGCGAGTCTTGCCTGAGTTTCCAGGTGTGATCCCACTGGGGAGTTTGCCCACGAAGCCCAGCAGCGGCTTCCTTTTTTCTGCCATATCCCCTACGTTTGTGCTCAGTATCAGAAAAGGCCCCGGGCAGTTCTATAATAAAGTAGTATGTGATTAGGCCCACCCAAAGAGAAAGTTTCCAAAACTTGAACAGAGACCATGGGGACTCTCCCTTTAGCAAATCAAAGGGCAAAAAGGAAGAAAAGGATTCCTCAAAGGAACCACCCACAGATCTCAGCAAGGCCCCCTCCTTTGCAAGGCATCCCATACCAGACACGCCCACGCCCTCCTCTGTCTCCCAAGTCCTCCTCCCCGGAAGCGCTTACAGATTTAGGTCTCCAGCTAGTCCTGCTGTCGACTCCTGAACCCCTGCACCTCCATCACCCTCCACTACCAGCCCCCTCCCACCGCCCGCCCCACTGGTCCCGCGCCCGACACACGACAAGTGCCACCCCCGCCCCCGCGTGATGAGGTAGGGGCGCCTCCCCACTCCTTCCCTCGACTGGGCCCTCCGCGGAAGGCACGCGGCGGACGAGGGACCTACGAGACCCCACCGGCTCCTCGGTTGCCACCGCCTCCCCACCCTTAGGTCCAAGTTGCCCGACGGTCCTGGCCCGTCCTCGCACCAATCCCAGCCCGGGGCTAATCAGGCGAGCCCAATCACCGCCCGAGAGGGGCGGCCCTTGCCGCTGCGGGCCCCGCCACCCTCCAGAGTAACACCATCTGCATCCAATAAGCTTTGGAAATTCCACATCTTCGCCTGTCCTCTCCGGGGAGGGGTGGGATCAAACTAAGGGCCGGAGGCGGGGCGGCCTGAGGGCTTGGGGCTCGGAGGAGAAAAAGAGTAAAGCTGGGAGTGAGCGGCATAGTATAGCCAGCGTCACCATTTCACGGCGACTGTCTCCTTCTCTACGGCTGTGGCGACCAGAGAGGCTAGAGTACCACTTAAAAAGCCGCGCTGATGTGCCACGGGTACGGCCTCCTTTGCGCCCTCGGATTGGTCCCACCAACCCAGCCTGCGCCCTCTCATTGGTGGGTGGCGCTGTCAGGTGGCCCCCGAGCTCTGCCCTAGGGCTTGCTGGGAGTTGAAGCAGGAGGAGATTTCCTGGTTCCCGAGCCCTCGGACCCCGCGACTGGCGTTTTTTCCTCGGCGCGGCTGAGAGCCTGCGAGTTCCCCTCTGGGCCTCCCAGCTTATTTTAGTTAAGGAGTCCTCGAGGCCTAGCGTGCTGGTTACCAGAGCTTCTAGAAGCGGCTTGCCGGCTCCTGGCATTTTCCGGGTCAGACTGGTTCTGAGGACGCGTCAGGGAGACCGTTGGACCCAGGTTTAGCGTTGCCTTCGTTCGGCCAGCGCCCGGGAGCTCGACTCCAGATTCCCTGGGGCTGGAGAAGCCGTTGTTTCGTCCGTCGGGGCCAGAGGTGCAGATGACTAAGGGGTTGTTTTTCGTCCAGAATTCTACAGTTTTGTGTAAGAGAAGCAGGGCAAGTTTGTCCGCTGTTTTTATCAATCAGGGGCGGCCCGTGACCGGTCACAACGGGATAGTGAAAGATGTCAAAGAGGCATAAGTCCTTTGTGGGCTCACAAACTAATGGGAAGATGAACACACCAGGCGCTCTTTCCTTCACAGTTTCTTTGTCTTCTTATAGTGTCCTTACGAGGAGTCTCCCGATTTGGCCTTATGGGGGATTTGCTACACCTGGGATCTAGGACCTGTATCTCTAGAATTACAGAAATGGTAACACTCTGGCTCCTTACCCTCCACTTGTTCTCCTTATCTTAAGCCCGTGTAGGATGTCTGATTATCTGTCTCACTGCTTGCTTTGTTAATGACTTTCCCTGCTTGATTTGGACCCAATGGGCAACTGTCTCATTGATGTCTTCATTATCCATTTCGTGCTGTAGACAGAGAGCCTGGAGCCTAAGCTTTAAGAAATATGGAATCTGAAACGAACAAAAACTTGACTCTGAAATATGAAAAGAAACTATAAAATAAAAATGGAAATGTTTGGCCATATCCAAAATATAACATGTCAGTGAGTCAAATGCCACTTGTATATGTAAATTACATGTTGTTTCCCAAAGTAAGCATGCCTACAAAGGTCTTAAAATAGTCCTTACCTAGATTTCTTCAGCTTCTTGTCCTCCATACCTACTGGCTCAGAATCTGCTTTCTCCTCTCCAGTATGCTGGGGTAAGTCACCAAAACTGTGCAGACTTGGGTTTGCCGTCTATTCTTGCTCTGAACTTCATCTCAACCCTCCCTGATGCCTGGTCATGCTTTGCGTCATCTCTTATTTATGCTCTATCGTATTTCCCATGGTAGATGTTCCAAGCTTCTCTTGTTTAAGAAGTGCTTTATAATTTACATGTTTATTATCTTACTTAATCTTGTAACAACTCTCTGAGAAAAGTCTCAAGCTTGGTGACCAGCCCAAGGTAACACATCTGAGACTTGAACTCTGTCTCATGACGCCACATTTAAGATTCTAGCCCAACCACCTCTCTACCCTTTCCTTTCCCAGCTTCTTAAGCATTGACTCCTTTATATACTTAGCAGGTAACTGCCTTTCATTGAGTAAGGGAAGCAACTCCCTCACTTTTTACTAAAAAGATCTATGATTCATCACACCTCCTTTCAGACCTCTCCTGACTGCTTTTCTTCTATTCCAAGTTTAACCCCACAGGACTTTTGCTCTTGATTCCAACCTTTCCCGCCTTATCAAAACCTTGCTATTCCTACATTTTCAGTCAGTCCTTTACTAGCATGTTCTTCTACCAAATCCTCCCTTGGCTAGGCTGCCTCTCAACTTACTGACCTTTGTGACTCTCACCACTACATTTCAGAAGAGTAATCTCACTTTCTGCTTTCATCATGGTCTTCTCATTATCGCCATTGCCACCCATTTTTTTCCTCCCCCAAATAAACTAACTCCTCTTTTCTGTTGAGACTTCTCTTGTGGCTCACAAGTGACCATGTCACTGGCCTTTTCTCTTTAGTATTCACCGTTGTTACGTACTTCTTCATCCTTAAAACTTGCTTTCCCCCTTGCCTTCTGAAATACTCTCCCGGCCTTCTTGTCTCCTGGACTGCTTGTCACGTTCTCCTTCCTCACTGGTTCCCCTTCCTCCACTTTACCTTTTCTTCTTATACAGATGATCCTCAGATTCACACTTTCAGTACTGACCTCTCTCCTGAGCTTTGTCACAGCCATCTGTTATAAACCTGTGCTCACATGTGGCCCCATCACCTTAAGCCCTGCATATCTTAAACTTCATTGAGCTTCCTTATTCACCAAACTATTCTTTTTGAATTTTCCTATTTTATTCTCTCAAGGATATCATCCTTCTCCCTTCCCTCCGGCTTGAAACCTTATAGTGCTCTTGGCCTCCTTTCTCTTTTTCCATATCCAGGCAGATACCTTTTCCATCCCCACTGCCAGTACCTTACTGTGTAGAATTTTCTGATGATAAGGACATTATCACCCTTACTTCAAGTATTAGACTAGTCTCTGAATTATTCCTGCCCTCCATTTTTTCTCAGTTGAATTTATACAGTTTTTCCAAATTAATTGTAAAAATATGATAAAAATCAGTCCTCATTCTAAAAGCTTCAGTAGCTCCCAATCCCCATAGGATAAAACCTGGATTCCTTAATAGATCCGTAAAACTTGCCTTTTAGTTTACGTAAACATTGCCAAGAACACTTCTTGGCCTTATCCAATTTTGTCTTCAGAATTCTTCCACCTTTATTATTTAAACACACATTCTCTTTTTCTTTTTTTTTTAATTAATTTTTATTGGAGTATAGTTGCTTTACAGTGATGTGTTAGTTTCTACTGTACAGCAAAGTAAATCAGCTATACGTATACGTATATCCCCTCTTTTTCGGCTTTCCCATTTAGGTCACCACAGAGCATCGAGTAGAGTTCCCTGTGCTATACAGTAGGTTCTCATTAGTTATCTATTTTATACATAGTATCATTAGTGTATATATGTCAATCCCAATCTCCCAATTCCTCCCACTTCTTTTTTTTAATTGACTTTTTCTTTTTTTTTATTGAAGTATAGTTGTTTTACAGCGTTGTGTTGAATTCTGCTGTAGAGCAGAGTGATTCAGTTGTACGTGTATATACATTCTTTTCCATTATGGTTTATCACAGGATATTGAATATAGTTCCCTGTGTTATACAGTAGGACCTTGTTTTTTATCCATTCTATATATAATAGCTTACATCTGCTAACCTCAGCCTCCCTCCCCATCCCTCCCCAACCTATCCTCCCTCTTGGCAACCACAAGTCTGCTCTTTATGTCTGTGAGTCTGTTTGTGTTTTGTAGATAGGTGCATTTGTGTCATATTTTAGATTCCACATATAAGTGATAGCATATGGTATTTGTCATTCTCTCTCTGACTTACTTCACTTAGTATGATAATCTCTAGTTCCATCCATGTTGCTGCAAATGGCATTCTTTCTTTCTTTTTTATGGTTGAGTAGTATTCCATTGTATTATATACATGTACCGCATCTTCTTTATCCATTCATCTGTCAGTGGACATTTAGGTTGTTTCCATGCTTGGTTATTTTGAGTAGTGCTGCTGTGAACATAGGGGTGCATGTATCTTTTTGCATTATAGTTTTGCCTGGATATATGCCCAGGAGTAGGATTACTGGATCACATGGTAATTCTATTTTTAGTTTTTTGAGGAACCTCCAGTCTGTTTTTCTATAGTGGCTGCACCAGCTTACATTTCCACCAACAGTATAAGAGCATTCTCTTTTCTCCACACCCTCTTCAACATTTGTTATTTGTAGACTTTTTAACAATGGCCATTCTGACCAGTGTGAGGTGGTACCTCATTGTAGTTTTGATTTGCATTTCTCTAATAATTAGCAATGTTGAATATCTTTTCATGTGCCTATTGGCCATTTGTATTTCTTCTTTGGAGAAATGTTTATTTAGGTCTTCTGCCCATCTTTTGATTGGGTTGTTTGTTTTTTGTTGTTGAGTTGTATGAGTATGTATACTTTGGAAATTACAGAAATTTGGAAATCTCTTGTCTGTTGCATCATTTGCAAATATTTTCTCCCATTCCATAGGTTGTCTTTTCATTTTGTTGATGGTTTCCTTTGCTGTGCAAAAGCTTATAAGTTTGATTAGGTCCCATTTGTTTATTTTTGTTTTTATTTCTATTGCCTTGGGAGACTGACCTAAGAAAACGTTGGTATGATTTATGTCGGAGAATGTTTTGCCTATGATCTCTTCTAGGAGTTTTACGGTGTCACGTCTTATTTTTAAGTCTTTAGCCATTTTGAGTTTATTTTTGTATATGGTGTGAGTATGTTCTAACTTCATTGATTTTCATGCGGCTGTCCAACTTTCCCAACACCACTTGCTGAAGAGACTTTTTTCCATTGTGTATTCTTGCCTCCTTTGTTGAAGATTAATTGACTGTAGGTGTGTGGGTTTATTTCTGAGCTCTCTGTTTTGTTCCATTGATCCATATGTCTGTTTTTGTGCCAGTACCATGCTGCTTTGATTATTGTAGCTTTGTATTATGGTCTGAAGTCCGGGAGGGTTATGCCTCCAGCTTTGTTCTTTTTCCTTAGGATTGCTTTGGCAATTCTGGGTCTTTTATGGTTCCATATAAATTTTAGGATTATT